CCTTCTATATCTTGAGGAACTATGTAGCTAAAGGCAAAAATTACTGCACTGGGATTGCTGGATTAAAGTGCTGTATATTTTTTTGTTTGTTTGTTTTTTTGGGTCCGGTTGTGGGGCCTGAACTCTGGGCCTCGGCACTGTCCCTCAGCTCTTCAGCTCAAGTGAGCTCTTCAAGCTCACTCTACCACTTGAGCCACAGCACCACTTCCGGCTTTTTTCTTTTTGCTTATGTGGTGCTGAGGAATCGAACCCAGGGCCTCAAGCATGCAAGGCAAGCGTTCTACCACTGAGCCACCTTCCCAGCCCAGTAATGTATATTTTTGAATCAAGATACACCGAAATGACTCTTGAATATTCTTCATTGGTCACTACAGGGTAATCTGGTACCTTAAAAGGGCAGACTGCTTCATCTTTCTTTGCAAAGAATCATTGGAGCCTAAATCAAGTCGAAGCCCCTTTTAAATGGGAATACTTTTTATTTTCCTAAATATTAGCATCAATAAGTTTCTCTGAAGGGATGCTCCTATGTAGATTATGAAAATTTGAATAAGTGAAGGTCAAATTTGATCCAAACAACGACAAGAAAAAAGCTGGAGAGCAGAAACTCTCTTTTTTGTCCCTTTAATTGCTTTTGTATGACCAAATGTTTCCTGTGCCAATCAGTGGGAAAGAAGTTAGCTTGTCTTTTCCTTGCTTTGGAATTTCATTTGTCTAGTTAGCTCTTCATTTTTTTTTTTTTTTTATCGGTCGTGGGGCTTGAACTCTGGGCCTGGGCGCTGTTCCTCAGCTCTTCAGCTCAAGGCGAGCGCTCTACCACTTGAGCTACAGCGCCACTTCCGGTTTTCTGGTGGTTTATTGGAGATAGGAGTCTCAAGGTCTCTCCTGCCCGGGCTGGCTTTGAACCGCGATCCTCAGATCTCAGCCTCCTGAGTAGCTAGGATTACAGGCGTGAGCCACCAGTGCCCGGCTAGCTCTTCTTTTTGAAGGCTGAAAATTTATGGAACAATAAATGCCACTTAATGCTGTGTACTATTTAGGATTCCTCATTGGTTTTAGAATTTGAGAAATAATAGCTGAAAGCCTATCAAAATTGAAATTATACTGAGAAATTGTTGTGCTACTTAGTTCCTCCTAGTGAAACAAATTATTGCAAAACTAAAGTATGTTAACTGTCGGGTGCTGGTGGCTCACCCTGTAATCCCAGCTACTCAGGAGGCTGAGATCTGAAGATCGTGATCATGGTTCAATACTAGCCCAGGCAGGAAAGTCCATGAGACTCTTTTTTTTTTTTTTTAAATCAGTTGGGCCTAAACGCTGGGCCTTAGCCACAGCACCACTTCTGGCTTTTTCTGCCTGAAGTGCTGAGGAATCAAACCCAGGGCCTCATGCATGTGAGGCAAGCACTCTACCACTGAGCCACCTTCCCAGCCCCTATGAGACTCTTATCTCCAATTAACTACCAGAAAGCCAGAAGTGGCTCAAATGGTACAATGTTATTGAGCTGAAGAGTTGAGGGACAGTGCCCAGGCCCAGAGTTCAAGCCCCACGATTGTCAAAAAAAAACTATGTTAATTTTTTAATAGTAGAATCTTGACACTTACTATAGTTAATGTTTTTACACTTGATCTTAGCCAAAAGGCTGAGCAACGATATCACGAATGTTGAACTGAGCTGGGTGCCGGTCATTCCTTTAATCCTTGCTACTCAGGAGGCTGATATCTGAGGATTGTGGTTTGAAGCCAGATCTGGAAGTAAAGTCCATGAGATTCTTTTCTCCAACCAACTATTCAGAAAAGGTGAGAAGTGATGCTATGTAGAACACTAGCCTTGAGCACAAATTGGCTCAGAGACAGAGCCCAAGCCTGAGTTTAAGCCCCAGGACCAGCACTTAAAAAAAAAAAAAAAAAAAAAAAAAAGCTGGGCGCAGGTGGCTCACATCTGTAATCCTAGCTACTCAGGAGGCTGAGATCTGAGGATTGTGGTTCAAAGCCAGCCTGGGCAGGAAACTCCGTGAAACTCTTATCTCCAATAAACTACCAGAAAACCAAAAGTGGCACTGTAGCTCAAGTGGTATAGCGCTAACCTTGAGCTGAAGAGCTGAGGGACAGCACCCAGACCCAGAGTTCAAGCCCCATGACTGACCAAAAAAAAAAAAAAAAGTTGAACTGGTTTGGTTGCTGAATAGAGCTATTACATAGCAAACTTTGGCTATCTAAGTGGACCAATTAACAAACTAGTCCAAAACAGATTATTCACTCATAATATGAGATAAAATTTCAACAATTGCAATCTTTTACCCAGCATTCATACATACTTGTAATGTTAGCTACTCAGGAGGCTAAGATGTGAAGACTGAAGCTCTGATAGAAAAGACCTGAGACTTGGGGCTGGGAAGGTGGCTCAGTGGTAGAGCACTTGCCTTGCATGCCTGAGGCCCTGGGTTCGATTCCTCAGCACCACATAAGCAAAAAGAAAAAAGCAGTAAGTGGCATTGTGGCTCAAGAGGTAGAGCGCTAGCCTTGAGCTGAAGAGCTGAGGGACAGCACCCAGGCCCAGAGTTCAGGCCCCACGACCGGACCCAAAAAAAAAAAAAGACCTGAGACTCAACTAGCAAAAAGCCAGAGTGGGGTGTGGCTCAATTAGTAGAGGGCTAGCTTTGAACAAAAATCTCAGGGACCAGCACCTAGACCTGAGTTCAAGGCCCAGGACTGCACTCCCATACCCCACAAGGCTGTCTCATTCACAGTCCAAATTAAGGCGTGTTGGCTGGGTGGTCAGTGGCTCAAACCTATAATCCTACTCAGGAGGCTGAGATCTGAGGATAGCCTTTCATAGCTAATCAGGGCAGGAAGTCCAGGAGACTCAATCTCCAATTAACTTTTTTTTTTTTATTAACTATTATTAAAAGAGTGGGAAGTAGAGGTGTGACTCAAGTGGTAAAGCTCTAGCCTTGAGCAGAAAATTCGGGGACAGTGCCTAGGCCCTGGGTTCAAGCCTTAGGACTGCCACAAAAAAAGAAAAAACAAACAAAAAACAAGGTGTGTATGTGTCTTTTACTAAGCTCAAAGTCCAGCTTCCAAGCTGGGCAACCTTGGCTCTGGTCTGTAAATCCTAGCTGCTGAGGAGGCTGAGATCAGAGGATCATGGTTTAAAGCCAGCCCAGGCAATAAAGTCTGTGAAACTTTTATCTCTAACCAATCACCAGAAAACCAGAAGTGGTGCTGTTGCTCTACGTGGTAAAGGGCTAGTCTTGAGCAAAAGAGCTCAGGGACAGAGCCCAGGCTCTGAGTTCAAGTTCCGTGCTAACAATAACCAGTCTAGCTTCCAGAGGCCTGGGCAAAGGGAGTGATTTCAGCTTGGTTGCCTCTTTCTCTTACTCCAGGGGCTCCCTGCAAAGACTGCTTCCTGTCCAAACACATCTCCTTTTTCCCCTTCTCATATCCATTCCAGAAGAGAAGGCAGGGCCAGTCCCCTTGGTGAAGCTTGTCCAAGCCTGAGCCTGGGCTCTCAGTCTGGAGACTGATAACAAATGCCTGGACCACAGCTGGACCACAGTCTTGGGGATCAAAGAGCGTCCCTCTCCCCTCTCTCCCCTGCCCCCCCCCCCAATCTCTAGGCACCAGATCCACACAGCTGTGAATCTGAGCTGCGACATCTCTCAGGGTTGAGGAGTCCCAGAGAAGAGGAAGAGATTGCTCCAAATCCTCTGCAAAGCCCAAGGCTAAGTCCAGCTCAGGGTGGGATGGCATTATGCATTAGCAGGCAGGATGAATCGAATTCACAAATTCACACTAAGGGGTGAATGGCTGGACTTCAAGGCCTTCCTTCCTTCCTTCCTTGGGTGTTGGCATTTTGAAGGATTGGGCATAGAAACCCAGAAGAATATGAATGGGGACGGGAGGTTCTTTCCGAGACTGGGGGGGGGCGGGCAAGTTACACTGAAGGCTGAGTGTCCAGGCCCAGGCGGTGCGGTTCCCGCTTTGTCCCATCCCGAGTCCCACGTCCGGCCGCTGCTCACTGCCGACCAGCACGTAATAGCTGCTGAATAAATAAATGCTTGTGAGCGAAGATCCGTGTCCCACCGCGAAACTGATCCGGGGCCAAGGAAAGTTTGGCTTTTGCCCCGCCGCCTTGGGCTCCCTCCAGCGCGATCGCCCACACCTTCTAGGCCATGTCCGGGCTCGGGGTGGGGAGCTTTCCGGGGCGGGCGGCTGCACGGAAGGGACTGCAGATCGGACGTGTCCACGTCCCACTGCCCTAAACCCAGCAGGGGAGGCCGACGACGGGGGGGGGGGGGGAGAGCCCGGACCCACGCGTGTCCCCCTCCCCCTCCTGTCCCGGGGTCGGTGGGGCTGGGGTTCCCCCCCCTGCCGCGGGAACGCCCCAGGCCGGGCAGCCGAGCCGCGGCGCGCTCCGGCGAGGTCAGCGAGGCCCCCGGGGGCCACGCCACCCGGGACGCGCGCGCGCCACGGACGCGCGTCCGGTGCTGTGCACACTCGGCCCCCGCCCGCCCGGCCGGCCGCCGGCCCGGGGCGCCGCGCGGGGGAGGCTCGGCGCCCCGCCGGGGCGTGGGGGCTGCTTCCCAGGACGGCATCCACACCCTTTTCCTCTCCAAAGTCGGCGGCTTCCCTGGAAGAAGGAGAGCGCCGGGGAAGGCGGCGGGATCCCGCGGGCTGCCGTCTTTCCCGGCTCCAAACTCTTCAAGGAAAACAACCACCACCCCAAAGGTGTAGGCCCCGCGGAGATATTTGGGGTCAAAGGGGAAAGGAGCAGGCAGCGCATTCCTGCGCCGGCTCCCCTCCCACCTGGTCCCGCGGCTCCCCTCCCCCGCCCCGGGCCCGGCCCCGCGTTCCGCCCCGAGCCGCCAGCCCCGGGAGCGGCAGGGTTAAGCCCAGGAATGTGGCGGCGAGGAATGTGCATGCAGATGAGCCGAGCGCGGGGAGGGGCCGGGGCGGAGCGTATGCTAATGACATGCAAACGAGGAGGCCCGTCGCCGCCGCCGGGCTGCTCCTCGGTGGTGCTTCCCGGATCCGAGCCCAGACGGCGTCGGCTGCAGCGGCCTGGGCGCCGCGACCCTCGGCGGCCACAGGGGGACGGAGAGGAGAAGGAGGAGGAGGAGGAAGAGGCGGAGGCAGCGGCGGCGGCGGCGGAGGAGGAGGAGGAGAAGGAGGGTTCGCTCGCCTGTTCCGACGCAGACATGGTGGACTGATCCCCCGTGGGGCCGACAGCAGGGCTTCCCGAGGCGCCCCCCGCGCGTGGTCCCGCCGCGCCCCGCGCCCCGCAGCCCCGCGGCGGCCGGCCGGGCAGTCGCGTTCCCGCCGCGTCCCGCGCACGGTCCCTATGGAGGCGCCGCTCGCCGGCGAGGCCGCCGACCATGCCTAGGAGGGCCGGGAGCGGGCAGCTGCCGCTACCCCGGGGCTGGGAGGAGGCCAGGGACTACGACGGCAAGGTTTTCTACATTGACCACAATACCAGGAGGACCAGCTGGATCGACCCCCGGGACAGGTGGGCGGCCGGGACCCGGGTGGGCGCGGGCACCCGCCACGGAAGTGCGGCGGCGGCTGTTGTCTGGGAGACCTGGCCGGGCGGCGGCGCCCGCGGCGCTGGGGGGCGTGGGGCGTCGCCGGCTCGGCTTCCCGGAGGGGTCCCGGGAAGGCGCGGAACGGCCTGCGGGCGACCTTTCCCGGGGCCCTTGGCCCGCCGCCCTCCGGATGCCCTTCTGGAATCTTCAGGACCCCCTGCCCCCCCCCCCCCAGGGAAGGGCAGGATTGGTGCCCTGGGCTGGTACTCCTTGTCCGCCGAACAAACACGGAGGGGGCCGCTGGAGTCCTGCTGGGAGGTGGCCGGCACGAACAAGTTGGCCAAACTGAGGGCTGGAGGGCCACCTTCGGCCTCTGCGGGGCACGGTGGGCCTGGGGCCCTCCTGGAGGCCTAAGCGCACCGAGGTGGGGGGGGGCACCTGTGGCATCTCTCTGGCCATCCTTGGCCCCTAAGTCTGGGCTGCAAGTTTTTGACTGAGTGCAACACCCTCAGCCAGACCAAGGGGTCCGGAACCTGCAAGGGGGGTGCGGGGGTCCCCCATCCCTGGCTGCGCCCTGGTCCTGGGTGTAACTGGCTTTGTCCCGCACATTTTTCAAAGGAGATTTCACCCCCCCCCCCCCCCCCCCCCGCTTCTTCTAGTTTTGCTTCCTTACTTCTTCACCTGAAAACTTGAACATACTCTGAGACCTTGAACAGGCGGATTCTGTTTTGAAGTTAAAAAGAGGTGAATGAATATTGAGCTTGCACTTTTAGGGTGTCGGATTTTGTCTAATTTTTCCATGCTCACGTTTTCAATCTGACTTAGAGATGAAGAGGAAACATTTCTGAATGATAACTCTGAGAAGTTCCGGAGCTGAAGTTTAGGTGAAGTGGAGTTTTCAGGAATGTCTAGCCCATCTTTTTTTTAACCCTTTAAAGGAATACATCTTAGATTTATTGTAAGAAAAATAGGAGTCATTCGTAATTGTAATTACAAAACAATAACTTATTATCCCATCATTGGGAGTTTTATCATTTCTGAGAATTCTTTCCCAGCTTTTCATGGAATATGGCCTTCCTGATCTCTTACCTCCTTAGCTGCTTTCCCTGTTAAAAATTTCCCCTTTTCTCATTTTGAAGCAAAATTGCTTCCTACTTTATATTATCAGTTACTCTTACCCTAAGAATATTGTTTCTGGAAAGCTATTAAAAAGCAATTAAAAGAAAGTCATAAGTGACATTATAAATTAATGGAACAACCCTTGTTAAATTATCCATGAAGGTATCGGTGTAGGTTCCCTTTCCTGAAATGAGAAAAGACACCTGTGCACAGGTCCCATCTTTCCACAGCCTGGCTGCCTGGCTGGCCTGCTGATAGTTCTGACAAGCATCACACCTTCACAGTCTCTCCAGACTTATTAGTCGTCATAAACATTGCGCTCCAAGCTAGTTATTTGGCTTATGCCCTTGCACTTTGAAACTACTTAACAGATAGTAAATTGTCAGTGCTGGTGGTGTGCACCCAACAGTGGCTTTAAGGCACCTGCATAAATATTTGCCTTTTACAACTGTGTGGTAATTCTGCTTTCAGATATTTGGAGTTTCAGATTATTGATGCTGCAGCAAATTCTTGAAATATTTAAGTATTTTAGGTTCTCTTCTGTTTCAGTTTGATGTATTTTACTTATTTTTGAAGATTAGCAGTGGTTTATTCACAACCCAGGGAGAAATTGAAAGGAAGAAAGAAGCACTCCTGACATGCAGGGAGTTGGGAGCAGAGAGGCTTCTATCTCTTCTGATCTGTTTACCAGAAAGGATTACAAGAATATGTAATGCTTGAGTAAAGCAAATAGAAAGTAAAGTTATATGACTTGGCTTAACCATATCACTACTTTTTACACAAGTCAAGCATGCTCTTGATTTTTAAACTCTTAATGGATTAGCAATCGTTATGAACCTTACGTTCAGAAACTGGGTAACCAGTTCATTTAGTGGGGACATTCTTGACCAAGATAAATTTGAGTGTGACTTTAAATATTAGTCTGAAAGTTTAAGATGATATCCTGGGAGATCAGTTGTCATGACATATTAATTTAAATTCTATTGTGTTTTTTTTTGAGGCAATTAAGTGGACAGTAGGTCTTTCTAAATAGTGACAGAGCTGGTTGGAGAAGATATTTGGAGTAACTATTAACTCTTGTCAATTTTGTTACACACTTTGCAAACATGGAAAAAGAGATGTCACACAGGCCAATTGAAGTGTGTAGATTCTTGGTTCTCTTCTTCAGGATCAAATTACAAATCCTGAAAGATAAATGACTTCATACACTGTATATGTAGTAATATTTGAGCTTTTAGAGCTACTTAAGTGAAGATGTCCACCAGTCTTTTTTTGTTGTTGTTGTTATTTTCCTCTGTTAAAAAGAATTTGGTGTTTTTGATCGTTGACAGGATCCTGGAGGTGTTTCTGGGTTCACGGATAATTATGCTGACTTAGTAGGAGAGGGCTAGGTGGTTCTACGAGAACATAGTTTCAGTAATTAGTGATGCTAAGACATAATGCAAACTTTGCTAGAATGTTTTTATTGATCTGCCATTCTTGAGTTTAGAAGAGTTTTTGCTAAACTTTTAAAATGTATAATGAAAATAATACTACTCCCTCACAGGGATGGTATTTTGGGGGCCTATAATTAAGGCCCAGCCAAATAGCAGTAGCTGTCATATTGACATTTTCATTTCAACATGAGTAATAGTTCAGATATCCCTGAAAATAGTAGGTATAGAAACAATGTGTACTTAGTGTTTATTGTAAGCTTAGCCTCTGTACTAAGCTCTTTAACCCTGATTGCATTTTATTCTCCCATTAATAAAATGAAGTAGGCCTATTTTTTATTTTCCAGTTACAGGTGAGGAAATTGAGTCACAGAGAACTTGACAGCTGTTGCTGTTAGGTTTAAAGCCAAAATCTGAAACTGGATAGAGCCTGAAAGCTCTAAAGGTGGTATTCTTCTTTAGTCCAAGCTGCCTTTATACCTGGATGTACTTAGGGGTGTTTAGATGTAGTTCACAGTGGTACTTGGCCAGGTAGATGTTGGTTTTTCCAAGCTGGCTGACCAGTCTGATCCTTGGGAACTCTCCTTGTCCCTAATTCTTTGGCTCCCCAGTGGGCTTACTACCTAAGAGTATAATTTTTCAGGTTTCTTCTGTTCTCCTCCTTTTTTTGCTTACCACAGATACCCTTTGACCAAACCAGTTGGTGTTTATGATCATGACCAAATGGTGCTTTAAAAAATACAGAATATGGGCTGGGAAGGTGGCTCAGTGGTAGAGCGCTTGCCTTGCATGCACGAGGCCCTGGGTTCGATTCCTCAGCACCACATAAGCAAAAACAAAAAAGCCGGAAGTGGCGCTGTGCCTCAAGTGGTAGAGCTCTAGCCTTGAGCTGAAGAGCTGAGGGACAGTGCCCAACCCAGAGTTCAGGCCCCATGACTGGGCCCCCCCCCCAAAAAAAAACCAAAAATACAGAATTCGCTGGTCCCCAGTGACTCATACCTCTGTAATCCTAGCTACTCAGGAGACTCAGTCAGGAGACTGAGATCTGAGGATCATGGTTAAAAGCCAACCTGGGCAATAAAGTCCATGAGTCTCTTATCTCCAGTTAACCAACAGAAAACCGGAAGTGGAGCTGTGACTCAACGAGGTAGAACACTAGCCTTGAGCAGAAGAGCTCAGGGACAGCCCCTAGGCCCTGAGTTCTAGCCTCATGACCAGCAAAACAATAACAGCAGCAGCAACAACAACAACAAAACCCCTAAATTCAGCCATGTGCCAGTGGCTCACCCCTTAATCCTAGCTACTCAGGTGGCTGAGTCTAAGGTAAGGGTCATAGTTCAAAGCCAGCCCAGGCAGGATAGTCAGTGACACTCCTATCTCCAATAAACTATCAAAAAGCCGGAAGTGGAGCTGTGGCTCAAGTGTTAGAACACTAGCCTTGAGCAGAAGTTCAGGGAGCACCAGGCCCTGAGTTCAAGCCCCAGGACCAGCACCAAAAAACAAAACCCAGTTAAATATAAAATAGGATGAAAAGGGAAGAAATTAGGAGGAAAAAGTAACATGGATTCATTTCCTCTTAGGAGGAGTAGACAACTAAGGTAATATAGGCCTCAGAAATAGAGTGCTTTTAGTCCACATTTGCTCATTTTCTATCTTTGGATTGGATGTTCCTTGGCGGTATGGGAACTTTTAATGGTTGAATTTAACAGAGTTCCACCACACAGGATAACTTCATGATAAAAACCTATTGATAAACCCTAATCTGCAATTTATATAGCCCAGATCAGATGACAAACAACCTTTTTTAACTGCAAAGAGAGAATCCTGAGCATGAGGCATAAGGGGGTTCAGCATGAGGAAGAGGAAGATGCCAGTTGACTTGGTGTCAGAGTTATCTATGGCTCTCCTTGTTTATAGCATGTGAGATTGGGATCAAAGGAAGTCTGTATGTCTGCCTTCAAAATTAAAGTAAAAAGCTAGGCAATGGTGCCTGATACCTGTAATCCTAGCTACTCAGGCTGAGATCTGAGGATCAGAGTTTGAAGCCAGCCTAGGCAGGAAAGTCTTGTGAGAGACTCTTACCTTCAATTAACCACCTCTGAAAAGCCAGAAGTGGCCATCCCTGAGCAAAAATGCCCAGGGAGAGTGCCCAGGCCCCAAGTTCAAGCTCAAGTAGGTGGACCAAAACAAAACACATTCAAAGCAGTTTTGACCAACTCATTGTTAATATGTAAGTTCCTCAAGAGCCCTAATTACGGGGCTGGGAAGGTGGTAGAGTGCTTGCCTTGCATGCTTGAGGCCCTGGATTCCACTCCTCAGCACCACATAAACAGAAAAAGCCAGAAGTGGCGCTGTGGCTCAAGTGGTAAAGCGCTAGCCTTGAGCTGAAGAGCTGAGGGACAGTGCCCAGGCCCCATAACTGACAAGAAAAA